GTTCTGATGAATACTTTTTTCGAGCTGGAGCCTGATTATGTGGAGTTTTACAAGCAAGCTCTTGGATTTAGGACGTGGGTCGTTGGGCCTGTCTCTTTCTGGGTTAATAAGAGTGTTTCTGAGGAAATTGGTGTTGAGAATTATGAGAATGAGGAGAATACTGTTGAATTGATGGAATGGCTCAACTCCAAAGAATTGAACTCTGTTTTGTATGTTTGTTTTGGTAGCTCCACCAAGTTTTGGTCTGCTCAGTTGGCTGAAATTGCTGGTGGGCTTGAAGATTCTGGTCACCAATTCGTTTGGGTCGTGGGAAAAGTGATCGACAGTGGAGGAGATCATGGCCAGCCATTTGATGGCATAGGTGAGGCTGGAATTAATCTTTTGTGTAAAATTCATTCTATGCGAACACTCCTCTTCGGATCCGGATTTCTGGCTTTGATATCATTTTAACATTCATTTCATCTTAAACCGATTGATTATGAATAAAGTAGATCACTTATATTATTAACGTGGGGAAGTTTCTTATCTTGTCAATATGGGATACTTAATATGCTACGTACTCTTTTAATTCAACTGGATCTCATTTTTAGATCGAATACTATATTAATGTCAGTTTCATCTCAAATCGACTTTTAAGTGGAGTAGGCCACTTATAATATAAACGCTAGTTGGTTCCTTATTTTATCAACGTGTGATTTTTGACATGTTCTGTGACTCTTTTAGTTCATTGATTTTGGTCGGATCCTACTTTTGGATCGAATATTTTTTTGAACTTTTGGACTCTCAATATTATACCAAGGATGAATAAACCACTCTTTGATAAAAAAAAATTTAAATTGACGAGTTGAGTAAATTTATATCAGCATGTACAAGATTGAAATGAAGTTTTTCTTACTGTCATTGCAAAAATGCAGAGGAGTTTGAGGAGAGGATGAAGCAGAGCAAGAGAGGGTTGATAGTAAGAACATGGGCTCCGCAGCAGCAGATTCTAAACCATCCGGCCGTGGGAGGGTTCATCACTCACTGTGGCTGGAACTCAATTTTGGAAGGCGTTTGCGGCGGCCGGCCGATGGTGGCGTGGCCGTCGTCGGCGGAGCAATTCTTCAACGAGAAGCTAATAACTGAGGTGTTGAAGATCGGAGTTTCAGTTGGAGCCAAAAAAGCTCGGGGCTTGATGAACTTAGAGGCAGTGGCGATTGTGGGGAGGGATGAGATTGCAAAAGCGGTGTCGTTTTTGATGGGAGATGAAGAAGAGGCTGTAGGAATGAGGAATCGAGTTCGAGAGATGGCAGTTGCAGCTGAGAGAGCAACCAACAGTGGCGGATCTTCTCACACTAGCTTGCTCTCATTGATTCATGAACTCAAGATGATGAAGCTAAAACGCCAAGCCAATGAGCTCCATGCCTAGCTTAATTAGCTTGGGAGTTTTGTTGAAAAAGGTTGTGTTTGGTACTTTTCATGGAAATTATTTTTATTAAGCTATTTGTTAACATTTTTTTTTTTTTTGAGATGCTATTTGTTCATATTAAATTGCTTGGTTTCTTCTTATACTTCAAAAATTGCTGTTTTTTTAAGTTGAAAAATCATGTTGGAATGGAGATTCGAATCTCTATCTAATCTTTTAGTAAAAAATATGTATCCACGATTAGGGATGAGTAAAGAGATTCGAAAAATCGATCCGATCTATTGGAATCTGTTGATTGATGCCGACTGACGGACAATAATATACCTTTTATTTTTTTTAGTTTTATTTGTATGTTTTTAGACATTAGGTTTGAAACCCTCACTCCTCAACATGAAAGGTAATTTGAACTTGAATATAAACAATAACGAAAAAGAGTATATACCAGATAAATTAACTAGAAATAATGAAAAGATGGGAATAAATTAAAAAAAATAATGGAAAAAATTAGCATTGCTGGTTCGGTTAACATCAACTTCTGTCGGTAAACCTTCGACTTACAATGTTAGGGTTGGCCAAAAATCGAACCCTATTGACCGATGCTCAAGCCTATTCACGATGCTTCCTTTGATTGTGGATCTTTGAATAATGAGAGGTGACCTTTTCTTTCTATATAGTTTGGTGTGGAATTTATGTGAGCTTTCTTCTTACATGGATTTAAGCTCAATCTAATGAGTCAATGTCTTGTAAAAAAATACTATCGTCATTTGATTGGCCATTTTTATATATTTTCATAATAATATATTTTAGTGCGTTAAGGATGAATAAACAATCACTCAACTCAAACGTTTACGCTAATTATTTGGGTAAATTTAATTCATAGATGATATCTCGACAATTTATAAGTTTGCTTTTTAATAGTTTGCATCCAACATTTGTTATAATAAATAAGATAAGCACCAAATAAATATAATAAAATAAATATATTTATATATTTTGTTTGAGTATGTTAGAGCTTATTTGATAACGTTTCCGTTTCTTGTTCTTCGTTTTTAAATTTTATTAAAAAACTTAAGTATTTTGCAACTAATTACGTTTCTTTCTTTTTTGTTTGGAAACATTCTCAAAATTCTACAGAAATTTTAGAAACAATCAAAAAAAGTTGTTTTCGTTTCCAATTTATTACAAATACATAAATATAAATATTATTTGATCATCATTGAATTTATAAATGTTGGGTCATGCAGTTCTATTTTTCTTTATTAAAAATGAAGAACAGAAACAAGAAACGAGAACTTTACCAAACGAGTCCCAGTAATTCGAATCCTTCTCCAAGTCTTGCCATAATTTATTAGTTGTTGTGAAATTAGAGGAAGGGCGAAAAATGAAAGAGTGCAGAAAATTACTAGGATTTCATTGATAGAATACTTAACAATATATTTTATATTAAATGATTAAAATAGATGATTCGGAGGGGAGACAATCACTTTCAAATGATTAAAATAGATGTTTCGGAAATACCAATAACCAAAATAAACAAAAGAAGCGCCAAGCAACCTCATTGATAAGCGCTCGTCAAACTTAAAAGATCAAACAATTGACACCGATATCAAACGCTTGACACCTATGTTAGAAGTGCAAATAAGGTCTATATTGATTAAGGAACAAAAGGATCACACTTGACACCGATATCAAACGCTCGACACCTATGTTATAAGTGCAAATAAGGTCCATATTGATTAAGGAACAAAAAGATCAAACACTTGACACCGATATCAAATACTCGACACCTATGTTAGAAGTACAAATAAAGTTTCATATTGATTAAGGAACAAAAAGATCAAACACTTGACATCGATATCAAACGCTCGACACCTATGTTAGAAGTGCAAATAAAGTTCCATATTAATTAAGGAATGAGTGATTTATTATATATAGACGAAGACAATTACCCCTATTACTATGAGACTTTTTTGGGGTGTAAAATCAAAAGCAAASTCATGAACTAAAAAATTAATGTCGTTATGTTGACCTTAATAACCTGCACAAGATTTACAAAACTCTTTAGCTTTTCAGTTAATGATCTATAAGGATCGGGTGCCCATATTCCTTAACTCAAAAATCTCTCTTGGCTAGATATGATAAAAAAATGAACTTTGTCTTATCATCACCCGCAACAAATAGAAGATGATATTTTCCGTCACATAGTTTGGACCCTTAGAATATAGTATCATTGGAATTTTATGTTTTATTGTATCGAAATGTCCAATGAATCGAGTGATGAGAATGTGACCAAAGTTACACATTGACTAAACAAAGGGAAGATCGTGAATATATAAACGAGGACAATTATCTCCATTAGTATAAAACATTTTGAATGAAACTAAAAACAAAGCCGTGAGCTTTATGTCCAAGCGGACAATATCGTGTCCAAATTTAGCTGTCTTGGTAGAATATACTCAAGTGTTGAACAAAGAAGTGGTGAGTCGAGTCTTGAAAGATGATAGTCATGGTATTATCCATGATTAAACTCTATCGAATAGGCAGTATGCTCTAGGCAAGAGGTGTTGGCATGGACAAAAGTTGGACGGAATGGATGACTATTTGAGAAGAGGTTCAGTAGTACTTTGTTCAATGGGAGGATGAGCAAAGTTCTAGACATTGAGTTGGGTTAAGTCAATTTCATTTTTTAATACTTGTGTTTCGTTTGTCCTCAAGTTCTTAGTACCCATGTTCTTGGAGCTTTTTGGAAAATTAAGGTAATACTTTTTCTAATGCATACGTCATTTGTCATAAACACCCTATTCTACTAAACAATATGTTTGATGACATGACTTTTAGCATGCTTATGGATGACTACATAAATATTCTTTTAAAAATTTGGTTGTATTTGATTAAAATTTTAAAGACTGCTTTTAACCCATTAAAAACAATTATTTAAATTTTGTCTAGTTTGAGAAATTCTAAAAACAAATAAATTTTAAATTTTAAATGAAATATTTAATTAGATTTCTTCCATGCATGCTTATAAAATAATTCAGTACTTCACTTGAGAACATTTAATTTTTCAATCGTAAACTCACCATAAATAAATTAAAGAAGAGCCATTTTTTTAAAGCAACCCTTCAATGATTCATATACTGTTTTTTTAAACAGCAAAGCCAGCAGCACACAAAACAACATTCAGACAAAGTCAAGAAGAAAGGCCACTTCAGTACACTTTCTCTTCTAATTTTTAATTTGGAAACAGCCATATCCAAATGAAGATTCTTTTGCATCACTTCAGAAACTTTATCAGCTGTGCATAATATATAATGGGGAGCTTTTTGCATGTAATAAGAGACTGTAAATTAATTGAAGAATGACGACTCATGATCAAGAGATAAAGGAAGGTGCTTTCCCATTTTACAAGCTTTTTGGCTATGGAGATGCTTTGGATTGGGTTTTAATGGCTTTGGGAACTTTTGGGGCTGTTGTTCATGGCATGACTCTGCCAATTGGGTATCTCTTGCTTGGCAAAGCTCTCAATGCATTTGGAAATAACATTGATGACCTTGACGCCATGGTTGATGCTCTTTATAAGGTATATTATGTTACATGAGCTATTATTATTGTTCATGCATTCACCTAAAATATCTATGAATATAAAGTAATACCATGTTGATAAGAAGTAATTAAGTTTAGGCGTTGTGTTTGGCAGGTGGTTCCATTTGTATGGTACATGGCCATAGCCACTTTGCCAGCAGGAATACTTGGTAAAATACTAATCCCTCTTTATCCTCAACAGATTTATTATTATTATTATTATCTATTTTTTTGATATCCATGAGTGTTCGGGCTAGCTTTATGCACACCTCGATTAATCTTACGGACAAATCTTTAACAGATTTAGATCAAAATACTTCACAGTATACTTACATTTTTCTGATTCTAGAAATTGGGTGTTGGATGTATGCAAGCCAGAGACAAACAGCTCGTCTAAGACTGGCATTCCTACAATCAGTGCTTCGCCAGGAAGTTGGTGCTTTTGACACAGATCTCACCACTGCCAAAGTAATCACTGGTATTACTTCCCACATCAGCATTATTCAGGATGCCATGGGAGAAAAGGTAAAAAATAAAAAACCCGTTAAAGATACCATTTTGATCTCTATACTTCCGAAATGGCCACCTTTTAAAATTACATAGACCAAAATGAACATTTTAGAAGTACAAAGCCTAAAATGAACTAAAGGTGAAAGTACAAGGCCCGAAATGACGGGACTAAAATAGTAGTTTAACCAAAATAAAAAGTCTCATATTCTATGGTAGATTATTATCAAGTTTGAGAGGGATAAGGAATTACTCTCTCTATGGCTTGGAAAATGCAGTTGGGGCATTTTCTGTCGAGTTTGGCGACTTTCATCAGTGGAGTAGTGATTGCAACCATAAGCTGTTGGGAAATTTCATTGCTCACTTTGTTGGTTGCTCCATTGATTCTGGTGATTGGAGCCACTTATTCCAACAGAATGACTGCCATTTCCTCTCTCAAGATGGCTTACCAATCCCAAGGTACTTCCCTGGTGGAACAGGTACATATGTCAACTGAATTTGTGTATAAGATGTTAAGTTACGAAATTCCGAAATGATGATATGATATTGCTAGTGTACTAATGTTGATTGATTTAATACGACGTGATGATATAAGAATATGAAAAGTTAGACATAATAAAAAGCATGCATGTGTAATATATCCTTTTTTCTCTTCTTTTTAAGAAAGCAATATATCAAAGTCTAATGGTCATACTAATTTGCCTAACTATCTACTTCCTTCAGCCATTTGTTTGTCAGTGTACTAGATTAGCCAACTTAATGTACCGTTAATAGATTCCCAAACCAAACGGACCTGGGTAGTCATGAGTCATTTACTAACGAATGATATTAATAGTAGAAACTACATAGAATCACACTTCAAACTTTAAGGACCTAATTATAGTTCAAAGGCCACATAGACAACAATCAAATTCAAACATGAGATCTATAATTTAAAAGAAATTGTTCCTAAACAAACTTACATTTAGAATATATAGAACAGACATGTTAACTGATACGTGTAGAGCAGTCGATATTGCAAATCAGATCAGTGTATGCATTTGTGGGAGAGAGAGGTAGCATGAAGGCATTTTCAGATCAGTGTGAGAAGCTGGTTGTAATGAGCAAGCAAGAGGCGTTGGTTAAGGGAGTGGGCATAGGAATGTTTCAAACTGCAACCTTCTGCTGTTGGAGTCTCATTGTATGGATTGGAGCCGTTGTGGTAACGGCTGGAAGGGCCAGTGGAGGGGACATCATAGCTGCCGTTATCAGCATTCTCTCTGGAGCAATGTAATAAATCTAAACTACACTACTGGAGAAACAATATCAACTTATTAAAAAAAAATGATCCAAAATGATATACAGATATGAAATTCCATGTCCAAGTTCAACTGAACTCAAATGAAGAATCTTATTCTCCTTTTTCTTTGGTGGTTGCAGCTCATTGACTTATGCTGCACCAGACATGCAAATATTCAACCAGGGGAAGGCTGCAGGGAAGGAAGTTTTCCAAGTCATTCAAAGGAAGCCACCTGCAATTTATGGTTCAGAAGAGAAGACTTTGGAAAGTATTGAAGGCAACATTGACATACGAGAAGTACATTTTGCTTACCCGTCTCGTCCTCAGAGACTCATACTTCAAGGCTTTTCTCTGTCCATTCCAGCAGGCCACACCGTTACCTTGGTAGGTAGCAGTGGGTGTGGAAAGAGTACTGTCATCTCCCTTGTCATTAGATTCTATGACCCTCTTCAGGGTATGCCTCCACCAGCCTTTCCCATTTTCTTCTATCTTATTTTTCAAATCTTCCTAGTATGGCTTGCATGTCACTTGGAGAAACATGCTTTAGCCACCCAAATTTTGATATTCCTTTGTATTTCTCATCAAACAACGGTTTGATGTCAATCTTTAAACAGTTCTGCAAATTCTTCAGGTGACATCTTCATCGATCATCAGAACATCAAGGATTTGAATCTGAAATTCCTGAGGAATAACATAGGAACAGTTTCACAGGAACCTGCATTATTTGCTGGAACCATCAAGGATAATATCAGAATGGGAAAAATGGATGCAGATGATCAACAGATAGAAAATGCAGCAGTGATGGCGAACGCACACTCTTTTATATCTGAGCTTCCACAGCAGTACTTAACAGAGGTAAAACTATTTAAGTCAAAGCAGCTTTCCTACCCTATCTATGCCACTTCCTGCTAGAATTCAAAAGTTCACCTGATTTGAATAACATAAAAGGAATTCCATTTATTAAAGGATTCTAACACACTAGACTAAAACATTTTTGAGCTTCAGTTGGGAAAATTTTTCATAGTCAAACAAAAGCTTCAAAGGGGTAAAAGGACTCAACTTTAAAGAACATTCGTATATATAAGAAACCACTGTAAAATGTCACAGATGCATCACTGTTCCAGTTGAGTGCCTTAAAAATATCCGTTTCTTCTAAGATGGGGTTCGATGAAATGAATGATAAGTATGTGGACAATAATTTCAGGTTGGACAAGGGGGAATCCAACTATCAGGGGGTCAAAAGCAAAGAATAGCTATAGCAAGAGCCATTCTAAAAAACCCACGAATTCTTTTACTGGATGAGGCCACAAGTGCATTAGATTCAGAGTCTGAGAAATTGGTTCAGGATGCCCTTGAAAAGGCCATAGTCGGGAGGACAGTCATTTTAATCGCCCATAGAATGTCAACTATTGTTGGTGCAGATATGATTGCAATCATAGAAAATGGAAGAGTTTCAGAGTTAGGAACCCACCAAAGCTTGCGAGAAACAAGCAAATTCTACAGCAACTTATTTGGCATGAATAATATCAGACCAGCTCAAGACTCGAGGTTTGTTCATACTAAAATATACCAACTTTGCTTCTGAAAGAAAACAAAACAACTAACTTGTATGAATTGTTTAGGAATTGGACAGCAATCCAAATTTTTCAGAACCAGGGAGTGCCCATCAAGAAGCTTCAAGTCGTGACCTCAATCAAGACCACAAACTTAAGGAGCCCACAAGTTCCAAAATAGATTCTTTGAACCAAGAGGATGATAATGAGAGATCAAAAGAAATATTCTTTAGAATCTGGTTTGGCTTGAGTAAAATAGAGATTATGAAGACTGCTTTTGGATCTTTTGCAGCAGCTTTGTCTGGAATTTCAAAACCTATCTATGGATTCTTTATCATAACAATTGGGGTAGCCTACTACCACAAAAATGCAGAGCACAAAGTTGGATTATACTCCCTCATCTTCGCTCTGTTGGGATTACTATCACTTTTTACGCAAACCTTGCAACACTATTTCTTTGGTGTAGTGGGAGAGAAAGCAATGAAAAACCTCAGAGAAGCTCTCTATTCAGGTACAACTTAAGAACACTTGTC